GGCGCAGGCCTGGATGCGCTCGCTCATCCGCAAGAGCGGCGGCGACGGCGGCGAGAAGGGCGGGGGCGGCGGTGCTGGTCAGGGCCGGGGCGTGACCCGCTCCAAGCTGTGATGCTGCTCCGGGCGTGCCAGCCTGTTGCTGCCGAGCGAAGCCCGGCACCTGGGGCATTCCCTGCCGCTGCTCCCAGCGGTCCTGTACATAGCTTGGGGCGTGCAGCGTGACGGGCCGCTGCTCTTTTTAATGTTTGAGACGTGTCTGCTTGTCAAATCCTTGCAAAGGAGTGAGCCGTGCCGAGGGGCGGCGGCAGAGTGCCGCCGCCTACTGCCGCTGGCCCTGCCCAATCAACACCATCATCTGCGGTCAGCACCTATAGGGTCGGGCACCGCCAACATTCCCACTGTCTCCTATGAGATCCCAAGTGGCCAGAAGGAGAAGCAAACTAATCGATGTGTCTCTTTGGCGAACGATCACATGGGCGGATTCGCCAGCTGCACAGCGTGACGTTCTCATGATACTCGATGCCGGGGCCCCTCCCATTTCCTCTCGAAACCATGGCTCCCTGAATCGGCTGATACACCATGGCACGCTGCCTGGTGCTGCTGCTGGCCCTGGTGGCCTGGCAGCGGGGCTGCCTGGCTGCGGCCCCCCTCAGCCTACCGTTGCCCCTCCCGCCAACGCCAATCAGCTCCTCTCTCACCAGAGAGGATGTTAGAGCGCTCGTTGGAGTATGGGATCCACAGGTGAGGAGGGTTGAACCCAGGTGCATGGCAGCTGCTCACGCAAGGACTGGCAGCGGGACGGTGTGTCTCCCCAGTTCTCCCGGCGCACTCAGCGTGACGCCTGGGGAGTCTGCCACGCATCCACAGCAGCGCCGCGCCCTGCACCCTTGTCCTCACTGCCGCTGCCGCACGCCGCCGCCGCCGCGCCCCGCCTGCTGCAGGCTGCTGTCGCGCCCACCGCAGCTGTGTCCTCCCACACACTACTAAGCGCCGCCATTTACAAGTGGGCCCGGCGGTTAGGAAGACCCTCCCAGTCAGCGGTGCGCCAAGCTGCTTCCGCTTGGCTTGCTCTTGCCGCTGCCGCTGCCTCCGCCCTGCGCCCCCTCCCGCCAGTAGCAGATCAGATTGCACCGCACACACCAACTTGGCCACTCCTGAGCAGTCCCTCCCTCCACTCACCCGTCTGCAGGTCTCAAGGGATGCAGCCAGCACTGCCGATGCAGCGCCTGCGCCCGACCGCAGCTCATCAGATGGGGAACCCCCCAAGCGCAGCCTGGCCATCATCGGTGTAGACGCAGAGACTGGTGCGCGCGCTGGCGGCGGGCGCGCAGCTTGACCTGCGACGGGCTCCTGTGCACCCTGCATGCCTGCCTGCTCTGCCTGATCCGGTTTGGCAGGTTTGGCTGGTGAGATCCGACCCCGCCTGCACCCCCCACCAATACCAGCACCCTAACCACCCCACGCCCTGCATGCCCGTCCCGCAGGCATGTGGGCCGGCCTGGTGGTGGCGCACAGCAGCACTCAAGTGTTCAGCGCCGATGGCGTGTTTGGACAATGCAGCCGGCTGCCCTCTGGCGACATTGCCTTGGAGGGGCGCATCAGCAGGGGGGCTGCCACGCTCCGCGCTTTCCTGCGCCCCAACGGCAGCCTTGATCTCCAGATGGAGGCGAGCGACGACGCCCCCACAGACCAAGCCAGCCCTCTTGATGAGGTGAGCCTATGCGCAGCTGGATGGCGGTCGGCCTGATTCTGGAGGAGGCTGCCCCCTTTGGCAGGCAGGCAGCCTGGCTGCGCTGGCGGCTCGGGTGCTTGCAGGGGCCAGCCGCCATCTGCTGGCGGCAATTGCAGAGGGGAGGGCGTGCTCGCTCGGGACGCAGGCTGACGTATGCATGCTGCGGGTTGCTGGTGCAGGGAGCTTTCGCGAGAACTGCGTTTGACGTTCAGGCCTTCCTTGCTGAATTGGAGCAGCGCAGCGCCGCTGCATGACACACCCTTGGAGCGGCAGCCTCGCACAGCCGCCGCCTCGGCAGCGCATCGCTGCTGCTGTTGTACTTGCCTCCCGCTGCGATGCGGAGCGATATTCCCTTTACACAAATGGTTTCCCATTATCACCCTCTTCCTTTTCCCTTCCCTTCTCACAACGTATGATGCTCCATTCCCCCCTGCCATGCTCACTCGCGTCCAACCCTCCGCAGCTCACACCCCTCCTACTTGTCACCCATTCCTTTCCATCCCCGAAATTGAGAACTGCGCTACCCTGTCTTGAACTGCCGCTCGCTTAACTTGATACTGACAATACTTTGTAATGCCTTGCCACCCACCCAGCCCCTACGGACAGGCCTTGTAGTCTGCAGGGCTTGGTCAGCCAGCAAGGGCAGCGAGGTGCAGCCGCCATCCGCCACCAGCTCTGTCACGATGACCTAGTCGCTGGCGCAGCTCCAGGAAGACAGCGGGCGCCATGTCCAAGAACATCCCAACCCGCCTGGATTGATATGCCGACTCAGCGCTGGCACCGTGGCCCCCCTTGTTGTGCTCCCCCTCTGTCAGACCCTTGCTGCCCACAGCGGAGCGGGCATGGCCCGGCCTGGCAGTCTTGCGGCAGGGTTTGCGGGTCGAGGACGGCAGCAGTCCTGCATGGGTCAGCATGGGGAGCATGGCTAGACTCGGTGGCGGGTCGAGGGCGGCAGCAGTCCTGCACGGGTCAGCATGGGGAGCATGGCTAGACTCGGTGGCGTCTCCGCTAGACGCTGTGCACAGCGCGCCGCCAGGCGGGCGGCGGCGACAGAAACCCCAGGGGGATGTTGTGCTGCCTCCCCTTCATCCGCGATCGCTGTGCATCGAACGATGTGTGATTCATAGCGCTGGCTTGATTGCAGACATCACGGTGAGAGCGCGTGGACTTGACTGGCTCGGTTCCGGCTTTGCGGCTCGGGGGAGCAAACCGCGGCAGCAGCGCAGCTTGGCCCCATCACCCTTTAAACAGCGGCGGTTTTGCAGCCAAGCAGGGGCGCCAAGTGGCGGCCGCCCTGCCGCCGCCTGTCGCTTGCTCGCAAGCTGAAGCAGGCTCGCCCCGCCGCTGTCGCCCTGCAGGCGAGAGCAGTCTGACACACTGCCAGTCCGCCATGCTTGTCCGCACCAGCAGCGGCAACACCAGCGTGGGCCACCTGAGCCTCTCGCCGCTCGGCTTCTCCGCCCTGCACCGCCCCGACTTCACTTTCCAGTGCCAGGCCCTCCTGTTCCCGGTGCACTCGGTGCTGCTGTCGGGTGGGTGGCGCGAGCTGGTTACAACCTCCCAGCAGTGTGCGCCACATGGGGCTCCGACAACAATCCCAGACAGCACCCACCGGCGGTCTGCTGCAGCCGCTGGCTTTGCAAGCCCACCGTCTCTTGCCCGCTGCCTCTGTTTGCGCCTCCTGCCGACTCCCGCTGCTCCTACAGCCTCCAGTAAATTCTTCACCGAGTTCTTCACTTATATACGCGGCCAGAAGGCACCAGGTGCGAGATGCCCTGCTCTACAAGGCCTGCTGGAAAGCGCGGCGTTGACCGCCCGGTTTGACCGCACGCCGACCCGGCAGCACCCACCATACAACTGTGCATTCTGATCCTTCACATGCTGGTTGTTCCTGCAGAAGTCATCAGCCTGGATGCCGTCAAGTGCGAGGCGCTCGCCGCGGTGTCCCTGGGCTACTATCTCGAGTTTGTGTATTCGGGAGGCGTGCTGCCGGCCTTCGACACGGTGAGCTTGCTGGGTGCTGGGCCCGACCCAGCCGCCAGCCTGGCAGAGTCTGGCAGGCGCTCCTTGGGAAGCTGCGGCTGGGCAGCTGTCTTCTTCGGCTCGCAGCCGTGGTGGCAGTCAGCTCTGGTGGACAGGACAGCCTGCGGCCGTGCGCTGCACCCACCCCCGCCATCCTCCACCCGCATCCCTGGCCGCAGGTGCCCGACGCGGTGCAGGCGCTGCGCCTGAGCGGCTTCTTCGGCAGCGCCAGCCTGGCGGCGCAGCTGGGCGCCAGCCTGGCGGCGCGGCTGCCGGGTCTGGGCGAGGAGGAGCTCCTGGAGGTGGGTAGAGGGCGGAGGGAGGGCGGGTGGAAGGCTGGTTGCAGGCGCCCAGAGGGAGGGCGCCGCGGGCGCTAGCCTTGCGTGACCGCTCGTGTCGGCGCCTGCTTGCCTGCGCCCCTGTCCCCGCAGGTGTTCCGCGCGGCGGTGGACCTCAAGCTGCGCCGCCTGCTCACCGAGTGCCTGGTGCAGCTGCTGCCGCAGTTTGGGCGCTGCACCGCCGACACCACGGGTGCGCGGGCCCGGCTGGGGTGTGGCTGCCTGCCAGGCTGGCTGCCTGGCTGGGATGGCGCTGGCCTTGCTGCCAGCCAAAGCCTGCGCCGCTGTGTGCGGCGGGGTGGCGATGCGCCCACCATGGCTACAGCTGTTTGTGACCTGGACCTGCTGCGCGTGCAGTGGCTGCCATGATCGAGCACATGGATGCCACCTGCGCCAAGGCTGTGCTGGCACAGGTGAGCTGCCCGGCACAGCGCTGCTGGCACAGCCAAACCCAGAGCATCACCGTGGCGGAGGAGCCAAGTCATGCGCTGATCGGCTGGCCGTTTTATGCTGGCTTGGCTGCAGCTGGCGCTGCACAGCTTCCCTGTGCCTGGCGCCGCCGCGCTGGCCGCCGTGCCGCCGGCTAGCTGCGGCCCCTTGGCCGCCGCTGCCGCCGCCAGCGCCAGCGACGGCGCCAGCGGGCAGCAGCCGCCGGGCCCTGGCCCTGCCGGTCCCGTCCGGGGCATCACCACCCCGGGCCGGCAGGACAGCGGGGAGTTTGCTGCCGCAGCAGCTGCCGCCGCCACTGGCCCCGCTGCTGCTCTGGACCTCGAGCAGGTGAAGCAGCAGTTTGTGCGGGTGCTGGAAGCCAAGGGCTGGGGGCAGTGAGCCTGCTGGGCCTGGGGCTTGCCCGCCCCCCGCCGTGCCTGCCCCTTCCGCAGCTCCACCCGCTGCTAGAGTGTATCAATCAATGCCAATACTTCCACCTTCGCCACACAATGTAGCCAACCAGATGGGCCTGCTGATGCCCTGTAATCTTATGCTGTGAGCCTTGTACCTGTCTTGCTTGAGCCTTGTCCTGCCTTTGCTTGTTCAAATTTTTTATGTCTGCCTTCCTCAATCTTTGGAACCTGCCCTGTACTGCCCTAACCCTTTTCGTGATGCCCTGCCCTTCCCGCCGGCATTCCATGAACCGGCCGCCCAGCCCTGCGCAGCATGTTTGTCCCGCTGCGGGGCGCGCCGCTGATGTACATCAGCGGCGCATGTAATGCCACAACTGACGGACCAGCAGACCTGTTGACACTTCAATCGCACTCGGCTGCGGCACCACAGTGAATAGCAATGCAGAAGGGGTAGTGCATAAGCGTACACACACGGTGGAGACAATTCAATGAATGGCAGTTGCCGTTTCCATGTTTCACTCAAATGTCGGGGTTCCTCGATCTGGCTGGAGCCTCCTCCTGTTGTGGTTGCCCGCTAGGTGGCCAGGGCGGGCACCGAGCCTGCGGGCAGCAGGTTGGGCAGGCGCAGCATCGACGCGGCAGCCAGGATAAGGCAACATGGGGCGGACACGTGGCCAGCTCAGGTGGCGGGGCGCCACGCACCGCTGACACCGACGGTCGCGCCCCAGTCGATGACCAAGGTGTGGCCCTGCAGCATGGGGGTGCAACGAGAAGCGAAGCGCAGGTGAGGGGGCCCGCCAGTCCTGCTGGGCACGCGCAGGGCTGGCCGCACGCCGCCGCGAGCAGCCGCGGGGCGCAGCACCGCGGCAGCGCCAGCTGCGGCTCACTTTGACGCAGCGGCCCATGGCTGAGGCCAGGAACAGCATGCCGTTGGCGATGTCGCGCGGCAGCACCGCTACGCCCTTGAGCGGGCTGGTCAGCGCCAAGGCGGCCTCCAGGTCTGCTTGGGGAGGTGGAGGTGGAGGGGAGTAAGGTGGAGTGTATGGTGTGTGGGTGAGTTGGGTAGGAGCAGGGAGGGGAGCGGGGCGGTATGCAGCAGAGCGACAGCACCAGCCGCCAGGTGGCAGCGGCAGCTTTGGGTGGAGGGGAAGGAGTGCTCACACTCCAGCGTTGGGTTGCCTGGCATCACGCCTGCCACCATGGGCGTCACTGTGGACCCTGCACCAATGGCAACAGCGGCAGCTGTGCAAGCGCTAACAGCCTTGCGGAGCGGCGGCCCGTGCCTGCTGGCCTCCCTGGTTGCACCGCTCCTTCTTGACGTGGCGGCGGGGCTCATGCAGCGCTGACCTGGCGCCACCGCGTTCACCCTGATGCCATACGGCGCCAGCTCACAGGCCGCCAGTTTGGTCAGCGAGATGACGGCAGTCTTGCTGGCCACGTAGGCTGCAGCAACAGGCAGATGAGGTGTGGCACGAGTCAGGCGCATGCACCATGCATCATGCATGCACAGCAGATTTGGAGGCGTCAGCTGAGCCCCAGCTCACCCCGCCGCGGCTAAAGGCGACATGCATGCAGTCCGACTGCATAGTCCGACTGGAGAGTCTCCACCCTCTCTCCTCCCCGCGACAACACCACCACTGCCAGCCTGCTCCTGCCCCCTTCCCCTTTGCGCCTCACCCGCCGGGATGAGCATGGCTGTTGGCGATGTTCACGCGGAAGCCGGCCACCGAGGAAGTGTTGAGGATGCAGCCGCGGGTGCCCGCCGCGATCATGGCCCGCGAGGCGTGCTTGGTGCCTAGCGCCACCGCACGCAGGTTGACCTGAAAGAAGGATGAATAAAATAAGGCGAGTAAACCCTGGACCTGATGGGGCTGAGGAAGGTGGAGTGGCATGCTGTGGCCGCGGTGGCCGCCCGGCAGTGGATACCGTAGCTACCGTATGTGACATCACTGCATCCCTGGCACAAGACGGCCAGCCGCCGACTCGCCTGGATGACCTGGTCAAACTCATCCAGGTTCAAGTTCTCCATCAGCGCCTCCCGCACCCCCAGCTTGCCCACGATGCCTGCAGCCGGCGCAGCCAGCAGCCTGGTGAGCAGCAGCGCAGCACGCTGGGCGCAGCCTTGACTGACTCACACATGCATCTCTCCCGCTGGGCTGCCGCCTCCAGGGGAGCTCCTCCACACTGCGCATGCCCTGCATTACCCCTCTGGTCTCCATCTGGGTGCGTGCCCATCGTCCCCCCACCTGCATTGTTCACCATGACGTCGATGGCCTTGAAGGTGCTGACAGCGGTGCCCACCAGGCGCTCGACATCCTCCTCCCGCGTCACATTGCACTCCACCGCAATGGCATGCTCCGCACCCAGCTCCTCTGCCAGCTTCTGGGCCTTCTCTACCTGCACATCTGCAGTGGAGTGGGCAGGCAGGTGGGATGCAAGAGTGGGAGCAGCGGCAGGGCTGTGCAGGCAGGCATGGCGCTCACAAGCGCTCGCCGCACAGGCTGTCGCAAAAGAGGTACTGTGCAGCACGCACTGAACACGACCAGGGGAGCAGGCAGCGCATCTCCCAGCACCACCCGGGCGCCCTCCTTGACAAACAGGCGGGCAATCCCCTCTCCGATGCCTGCAGCAGGCCACCGAAACGCAAAGGCACCGGCCTGGTAGGTAGGAAGCGACAGAGGCGGCCGCCGCTGGCGGCCCTGGCAGCTACCGGGCAGGTCGCGCCATCGGCTTCCAGCGCTCACTGCAGCAGCGCGGGCTCTCTCCACCAATCTGGGCGGTATGGTGGCTGCCCGTGGGCATGCTGGGGAGCGGGCGGACGCATGCAAGGCCAGCCACAGCAAGAACCCCATCCAGGAGTCGGCAGGCGCTGGCCCGATTCCTCGCCTGATGCCCCTCCTGTGATCACCGCGACTTTGCCGCTCAGCATGCTTTGCGCCGCCTCGAAGGAGAGCCCCCGGCGGACTGTGCCGTTCGAGACACCAGCCTCGCCCAAATAGGCTGGGGAGCGCTGCCAATGCACACAAACGCAGGCGGTCGCACAATTCATGAATTGTGAGCTATCTGCTGGCGAAATGTCAGCAGGGTGACGTGGCGGCGGCGGCTCCGAGCAGCGCCGCCATCGTGAGAGTCCACTTTGTGCCATGGTGGTCCACTTTGTGTCATTTGACTCAACAGAAACGTTTACATGTAGCAGTATAGATCACCATTCATTAGGGTATCAATAAGTACATCCAGAAGAGGCAGGGACACAGCATAGAGCAAAAGAGCAGAGATGAAAGATGAGAAGGAATCGGTGATTGGTGGGCAGCAAAACAGTGAGCGCACATTACAAGGCGAGACGCGGGCGCCGATGACGGCAACGCCCGGGGTCTAGCACAAGCCCGGGCGGATCTGGCGTGGGCGGGTTCAGGCCTTCATCCACACCACGTTGTAGCGGACATTGTCGATCCGTCCGGAGCGGCCAACGTCGCAGCGGGAGTGGACGCGGGTGGTGAGGGGCTTGCCCTGCGGGGTAGGAAGCAGGGAGACAGGGAAGCGGTGAGCGTGGGGTGGTGGGAGGCACGGCGGCCGCCTGGCGGTGACACGTCCCCAGCGACCCAAAGCCCCGGCAACGCCAGCACACACAATGCCGCCAGCTGGCCGTTCCGCAGCCTGCGGGGCCTCCTCACCTGGCAGCGGAAGGTGAGGTCGATCTTGGCGTTGAGCTGGGCGTAGCGGGTGTTGGTCTTGGGCTGGAGGGGAGGGCAGGGGGCAGCAGGGAGGAAAAGTCAGTCAGCCTGCCACAGCCAGCTTGGACCAACTCCAACACCACTGCCGCCACCACCAACCAGCTCACCAGCAGGCAGGACTTGACCAGGGCATGCTTGCTGTAGGTGCAGCCCTTGGGCAGGTCCCCATCCTCCTGCATCATCTCCACCACGATCTCCGCCTGCAGCGGGAAGTAGCGGGAGGGCCAAGGGTGCGCTTGTTGAGGTGGTGGTGTGGTGCCAACGGGCTTCAGCACGTTGAGTATCAGAAGGTTTGACGCTGCGCCAGGGTGGCGTGCAGTGCAGCTGTGACTTGATGCACCTGCGCAAGGCAGGCTGTGCAGCGGCGGCTCCTACCATGCTGGAGATTTGGGGAGTGAACCTGGCGCCAGCCGGGACCCAGCCCTTCTTGCGGTCGCACATGGGCCCTGCTGCGTGGGCCGTGGCGGCCAGGCCGAGCAGGGCCAGCAGGACGAAGGACAGGGAGGAGCGCATGGTTGCAGGTGGGGGTATGTGTGTTGTGGCAGCGGCGACGGGGCAGGTGGAGGCGGGAGGTGGAGGAGAGTGGGCTGAAGGCTCAGAAGAGGGCTGCAGCGAGTTGAATGACACTGCCGCCCCGTAGCCGTGTTTTATAGGCCATTTGGCTGCGGTGGAAGGCTCGCCAGGTGTGGGCGGCTGCCGCCAGATGGCGTCCCATCTGGGAGGATTCCCGACACACTTCCCAGCCCGGCCCCGGGCAGGGGGGCGCAAGCTGCGGGCAGTCTGCCGCCCCCTTGATCGATAAACAGTGCCGAGTGGTTGAGACGAGCTGGGCCGCGGGGCCCCGCAGCGGGCGCTGCGAAAGCCCACTCAACGGCCAATTTGGCTGCCATCCCGCAGGCAAATGGCTGGCAGCATCGTGGCTCACAAGCTAGGGCGATCACCGCGTTGCGGCACGACGCCTCATGCTCGCCGCCTTGCTGTGCTGTGCTGCTGGCGGCAGAGGCGCATGTGGTGGAATAACAGCCAGCTCCTGTTCTGCGTTGTCCTCCGCATGTGTCAGAACGGCATTACAGTAATTTCGGAGATTGAAACTGCAGATAACAGAGCCAGGAGGCAGTTGCAATCGGCACACTCAACGCGCAGGCATGCACGCTGGCAGCACTGCGCTGGGGGATCCCGCGACACCATCCCCAATTAAATCCAAGCAAGACAAGGCCGAGGCAAAATTGCAGGCGTGGCGCCGCAGGGCTAGCGTCGCAGGTGGTCTCCACAAGCGGGAGTGGCGCCGGGAGGGCCCCGTAGCAGGCACGGCCCTACAGCCCCAGGGCATCCAGCAGCTGCCAGTGGCTCCACACAGGCACCATCGTGTTGGCCGCAATCATGCCGCTGGCGGCGGCCGCCGGCACGCCGATGCCAGGCTGGCAGCTGTCGCCGCACCTGCAGGCCCGCAGCACGACAGCACGGCGCTTTGCCCACGCACCGCTAGGCACCCTGCCCGCAGCTCTAGAGGCCCCTTCTCCTTGGGGACAGCAGCGAAACAGCCAGGCCGGCAGGACACCTGTACAGGCCCGGCAGCGGGGTGGCGGCTCCCGGGAAGCTGGCGTTGCGCGCCGAGATGGCAGGACCGTAGCTCCCCTTGTACCGCCTGCACCAGCCCCACAAGCCCCTGCATTCGGCGCGCTGGCGGGCAGGCTGCCGGCACCAAGGCGCACGCACGCTCCTCCTCCCCCAGCCAGACCGCGCCTCAGCACCCCGCTGCCGCTCCGCTCACCGCAGGTACCGCTCGTGAGTGAGGGGCGTGCCCACCAGCTGCAGCTCGGCGCGCTGCCGTACGTCGGGGATGACCCGTTCCAGCGCCGCCCACAGGCACTGGGACCGCTCCTCCTGCAGGGAAGATCGATGTGTGTGGGAGCCGCGCGCGGCGTGTGAGCTTTTGGATTCCCGGGGCAGATGCGTGAGAGGGCTGGGGGTGGGCAACCAACCATCGTGCGGCGGCGCCAGCAGCCGCGCCACCGGTCACCTCACCTTCATTGCCGCGTACTCTGGCGTGCCGCGCTTCAGCCCCTCCCATAGCTCATACGGCTCGTTGCCGGCTGCAGCAGGCAAGGGCGGGGGCAGGCCAGCAGGGGCAGCGCATGACGCATGTCAGTCGCGACACGGGGCGGCCGCAGGGGAGGGGAGGGGGCACGGGGCGCACGGCGCAGAGACCAAGGACTCTCCGCCTGCCTGGGACACCGCCTGCCTAATGCATGCAGCATTATTAGATAAACTGCCCCGCCCGAAGGAAGGAGTCGGCTGGAGGGGTACAGTGCGATTAGGGTATTGAGAGAGAGAGGCTGTGATGTGCCACCGGGGCGCAGCTTGCAGGGCGTGCCTGTGTAGGCGTGAACCACGTGCTTGCCGGGCGGCGCCAGCGAAGGGTCCAGCACGGTCGGTATGCACACGTTGCACACATTCTGGGGCGCCTGCACTCTCAGGCAGGCGGCAGCGGGCAACCGCAAGGCGCGGGCCGGTGTGCGCGCGCCGTGGCTGCTGCGGCGCGGATCGCGGGAGCCCAGCGCTGGAGCTTCCCCGGAGGAGAGGTGGCAAGAGCCGCGGCGCTCGGGCGTCGACAGCCGCACCAGCAGCCGCACCCGGCCGGCAAACTAGCTGGTTGCATACGCCCACATGTGAGCTGATCAGGGCCGCCCCGCCTCCCACCTCAATATCTGCCCAGCTGTTGACGATGAGGTGGTGGATGTCCAGGTTTGGAGGCAGGCCAGCCGCATCGATGCCCAGGTGCAGGTGCACAAAGCTGCCGGTGCGGGGGGTGGCCTGGCCCTCCTGGCGGTACGCCTGCGGTACCGCGCCTGTACGGGGAGAAGCAGGGGACGGGGAGAGTGGGCAGTCCGGTGGGTGGGTCGCAGGAGAGAGGCTAGTAGGGCAGGCACAGCGGTAGGTTACAGAGCAGCCATGGCGAGGCCTAGCAGCGGCGGGGGCGGCCAGCGGCAAACACGGCAATGCGAGGCAGCGGAGGGGCTGGCAGAGGCACAGCTGCCCAGCGGCACAGGCTGCACCTCGCCGCGCCAGCCCACCTTCCGGCAGCAGGCGCAGGGTATCCCACACCGAGGCGTTGCTGACCACCGCCTTGCGGGCTCGGATGACCGGTGCGGTACCGCCGGCGGCGCGCGACCGCAGCCGCACCCCTGCCGCGCGCCCGCCCTCCACCACCACCTCCTCCACGTGCGTGCGCAGCAGCACGCGGCCCCCGTGCTTCTCGATGCCTGCAGGCGAGCAGGAGAAGGCCCAGGCACGCAGGGCGGGACCGACAGGGTCGGGTGACGCGGCAGGTGGTGGCAGGGCCGCCTGCGGGCTGGCCACCATCCGGTATCGCCACCATCCGGTACCGCCCCATAGCTGCTCCCGCAGCCTCACCCCTGACCAGGGCCGCCACGATGGCGCTGCTGCCGCCCAGTGGGTAGTTGATGGTGGAGTGGCCGCTGTTGCGCTCCAGAAACATGTAGGCCATCTCTGTTGTGGTTGTGGTTTGTGGTTGTTTGTTTGTTGTGGTGGTGGTTGATTGTTGTTTGTTGTTGGTGTGGTTGTTTGGAAGGGACAACAACGTTGTTGTTGTGGTTGTTTGGAAGGGACAACAACGTTTGGAGGGGAGGGGTTGTTGGT